ACGCATATATCTATATTATACTTATATATGTAGTATTTTAAATAAAATTATGGAGAGTAAAAAAAAAAATAAAGAAATAGAAGTAAATCAATTCCAAGATCAAGTAACTACTTCAAGCAGCTACTGAATTCAAGAACTTACATGGGGTCAAGCATATTATCTTGGTGGACAGACAAGATTAATTTATATATTACTTTCTTCGCGTTGTTTTTAAATAGAAAAAATAATGGAGAATAGAAGAAATTCCATTGTTTCTATTTAGAGTTTCAAATACAAAATGCAAATTCCAGTTCTCAGAAATGTCCTCGAATCTTCCGTTTTCTGAAGATAATTATTTCTACCATATCAAGAAATATATTTGTCGCATGGGTTTCGAAATTGTGATGTGAACTATACAATGCAAATTGTGGAATTTAACGTTCTTAGACAAGAATGTAAATTAGGCAGAAATACCATGTTATGATATAATTGATAATAATAATATTACTAATAGAAGGCTTATCGAATCCGAAGGTTCGATGCCGACACCACCAATCGCTTATTACACACCTCCCTCCAGCGTTCGCCGTCCTAACCCAGTACCTTCAGATCGGCTTTAACACAATCTTTCCATCTCCGCTTCGTTCTACCCCTCGGACGTACAACAAAATTAACCTTTTAGGAATTCTTTCGTTACTAAGCCCAACAATTTTACAAGCCCATTTGATTCGCTGCGATGGGATCACCTCAATTATATTAAGCGGATACAATTCACGCAATTCGGCGTTGTGTAATAGTCTGAACTCTCCGGTTTACTCATCCATCTTAGGTCCGAACATTCTACACAATACTTTATTTTCTAAAACCATAAGACGTTGCTCATCCCTTAATGTAAGAGGCCACGTTTCGCATCCATAAAGAAAAGTAGGTAAAATAATGGTTTTATAGATTCTAGTTTTTAGATTCCGGGACAAGAGGCGCGAGCTAAGTAGTTTTGTAGCAGAAAAATGACAAGCATTTCCTGCCTTCAGCCTAACTTTAATATCCTCTTCAATTTCGTTTTTTTTCTAGTTATCGTAGACCCTAGATACCTATATTATTGATAGCAGTGTAAATAAAAAAAAAAAAACATTTTTTCAAGTCGTAGTGAATACTTAATAATTGACCGTTGTATTATTAAGGAAGGAAGTGGTCCGGGGTGGCGGTCATAAATAGACTAAATAGTGGCAAAACTATTTTATTAAAAGACAACGTTGCAGGTCTTCTTCAGGGAGGTGTTTTCAACAAGGACCATCTCCTTCCTTAATTTTTTCAAGTATCTGTTGAATAACTTTAATGTTCATCAGATTTGTGATTCTACAACTTTCAGGTTTATTAAATATTTCCAATAACTACTTTCAAGTATTTCAAGTCGTTTGGGAGTTTTCAATTGTAATCTATTTATATTTTAAGTACATTTATTTCATGTAATGTGTATCTAATATTAATTCATAAAACTATAAACTTAGTAATTATGTATAAGCTGAATGGGCAACATGAGAAGAATAGAATGTTCATTAAATTGAAACTTCATACAATAAAAACCAGATTAAATTTGATACCATTAATTAATCATATATATATATATATATATATATATATATATATATATATATATATATATATATATATATATAATTATAAGAAATAATTAAGTGCCAGGAAATATGTTTAGTCCTAGTGTCACGGATAAACAAGATCGCTATATTTATTTATATTTCGTTGCATGTATGTTTATTTTTTTAAGCATATATATATATATATATTTTAATTATATATTAGAAAGACTTAGAGCAAACGAATGGGAAAGTGACTTAAAATTTTTATAAAAGATTCTATTGTTTGCAGAAAAAAATATTTTAAAAAGAAATATTCCACAAGAAGGCGGCTAACAGTGCGGCTGGTTAAAAGAGAAAAAGAATCATAAGTGGCGACTCAAGTATGGGCCAGGGGAGCTTTTAGTCCTTCCAGGCATGAAATATAAATTGTACCCCCAAGCGAAGACAGGAAGGATAATTCGAGACAAAGAATTAGGAAGCGAACACCAACGGCAGTTTATCTCAGAGCTATATTTAAAGCGAAATTGGTTAAATTTCGGGATCTAGCACGAAATAATACGATAAACCTTATGCATCAGAGGATGGTTTATACGGCAAATAAATATATCTAAATAAAACACTCGTGAAAAGAAATACGAGAATAATTTTTTATTCAAATAATTAGAGATTTATATTATAGATTTTCTAATAATTATTTAGATTTCGAAATATAACTTAAATAACCAAACGTCGGCACAAATAAAAAATTCAAAATATTTTTCAAAATGGCTGCGTCCTGAATATTTATCACACAAAATTTAAATAAGTAAAAAACAAAATTTGGACGAATGATAATGACTAATAGCGAGTATCTATAATTAAAATTTATTTTATTATGAAAATTAGTGACTATATCAATACTTCGGTATAAAGTTATCGTTAGTTTCAGCTATGTCAGACATCTATTTATTTTATTTAAGTCGTCTTTAAATTACAAAATTACTTTAAAACAAGAATTTATAATGTGTTATAATGTTATAAGAAGTTATAATGTGATAATAGTTCGCTTCTTAATTGTAGATGTCTATTACACAAACAGGACTATCGTTTAAAATTAATTAATAAATCTACCAAAGATAGTTAAACTATTACGGTAAAAATAAAAGTTATGAATCACAATAACGAATTGAGATAATTGAGTTTTATATATTTTTATACTAATTAAAATCTCTATGATTAATAAAATGAATTATAAGTGATATACAAATACTAATTCTCGAAAGAAATTTATTCACTTATATACCTAGAATAGTGACACCTAAAACTAACAGGTTCAAAATTATTAAAGTGACTGTACCAGAAAGAGCATAGAGACTGAAGAGGAAATTAAGATGTCCTGGAGCCTTTTGGGATTACTACGGACTGGAAAATCCTCAGCTGGAAAGGCCGTAATCCCTCTTCTTATAGCTCCTCCTGATAAAAGAACTGATAGGACCTGATTACCTCGAGGAAGGAATCATGTCTCTGGTTCCAATTAACCCACTGTGCCTCAGCTCGAGTACTTAAGTATTAGCCACACAATATGAAATCAATATCATACATTTATAGCAAAATCGATAGCAGCATTCTGAAAATAAGGTACAGAAGACAGCTCTGTATTTTTGAGAGATTTTGTTTGCTTAGATAGTGCGGATTGATCAGATCGAAAAAAAACGAAAAACTAAACGTGGATTGATCGATAGTTCAATTGAATAGGAGCAAACAGAGGCGGTCAAAACAGAATTAAACTAACCCAAGGTAGAACGGGTGGGTATAAATCAGGTTGACGGCCTTGTTTGTGCCTACAATAGGCTTTAAAACCACCTTCAAAAATATCGGCGGCATCCCAAGGATATATCCAGGGGAAAATAAAATTAAAGTTTTCCAAAAATAAAAAATACCTAGGATCTTTCGCGCTTAAAACAGGGCAGTGATAATGGAGCTGAGAAATGATGAACCATCTGAGAAATCCATAGGTAAGGATGAGAGCAAATATTGTAATTACTACAAGAGTAAAGGTAGATGAGTGAAGTCAGGAAGCGGTGCTATTGACTCATTAGTTTTTGTCTAAAAAAAAAATTGAAAAAATAGTATCCATTTAAGCGCACTGACTCTCATATAAGATCGTTTTTAATTTCCCAAATACATTCGAGGTCTAAGTAAAATCGTAAAAATATTTTATTCATGTATACAAAATAATATTATCAATATTCTATTCAGAACATAAAATTAGTGAAGCTTCATTCTTTACCACTATGGCTGATAAGTTTACAATTTACCTAATAAATATATACAATAAATATAAGTAAATAGTTAGACGAATTGTAAAATATCCTTTCTGTGTAATAGGAAGACAATGAGACACATCCCTGAACTTACACTAACCCATCATTGCACTCTCTCAAGGCCAACTAGATTGTTGCAGAAAAGTCTCGGTTTACAGTTCTCTCATTTCCAAAGAATAGTACATCAATGAGTATAAGCCACACCAGAATAGTTTTTTTGTTATGAAAAATCGTGGGTTATTGAGCTATTCTCCTATATTTATTTTATCAATAGACTTTTAGATCGTCAAAGACTATGGCAACCATAGCATCTTAATTTCTTTTTTAAATACTAATATTTTAAAAACACCAAACCACCTTTATTGGCGCGTAAACGTAAAAAAACGATAATTTATAATAGTGGATTGATGATCGATTGTAGTGAAAATTGAATAGAAGTTTGAGATGACTGAAGACCCTAACCAACTTCCCTTCAACAATAATGAATTAGATGAAGGAGTTGGTCGGGGGTAGAGTAAAATAAATAGTATTTTAGTTTATAGTATTTGTTTGACCGCACCTCCGACCAACTCCTTCTCCGTTTCTAATATTATTATCACGGTCAACCATCTCTATACCAATAATTTATTAGTATTTTATGGGTCTAATGGGACATTTTTATAGATATCGTAATTATAAAAAACTTTGTGACCAATAATGACAATAATATTAGCGAATTGGAGCTCGTAGATGTACAGGGTGTCCAGCGTTTCTCTTCAAAATAATGCCGTACATTTCCCGGTTTTCCTTATGATTCCAGCATTCCTCATATAATATATTTCCAACATTTTCCCATACTTTATCAAGTTGTGCTGAGTGTTTCTCTTCATGAAAATTCCCGTTCATTTTCAGATTTTTCTGTCATATATTCCAGGTATAATATAATACAATACAGTAAAATTCCCCTGACCTGAGGTATTTGTTCATTAAATTCCGTAGCTATTATGTGAATTTTTCTAACTTGTTCAGGTATTCTAGGTTCAGTAGTAATACGTATATATTGATACTTCAGAAATTATAAATACTCCATTTCATTCTATACTTGGTTGATATAAAATATTAAGTTAGACGTAATGGCAGGTTGACGAGAGGTGAGACGGAACTTGTTGCAGGCTATTGGCCGCTAGGAGTGGAGTGGTGCAACGTGTACGTAACCAGCGACGTGCTCGCCTGCAGCGCAAGCATCATGCACATGTGTGGGATCAGCATGGGAAGGTACTTCGGCATCAGGAACCCGCTCAAGACGAGGCAGTCCTCCAAGAGGATGGTCGGCTTCAAGATCGCCCTCGTCTGGCTGGTGTCCATCCTAGTTTCTAGCTCCATCACATTACTGGGTGACTATGCGCTCTATCTACATTACTCATAAAAGACTATTTTAATTTATATTATGTATATTGGTATAAAAGTTTCAAATAATTTCTTCCACAAAGTGAATAGTCGTTATGAACAAATATTACCCTAGCCTTAACAGTAATCAGAGTGAGCCAACCAGCTCGCCAGTTTACTGACAAGAGAAACAGGAAGGTGGCCAGCAAATAGCGCTGATTGGATTCCAGCCTCGAGTGGACCCGGCAGTGTGTTCAAACATCTCCGTCATTAGGCTGAACCTGATGTCTTCAGTTCCGGGTTTAGTACCTGGGTATCATGGGTCTTCAATGAGACACGAAACTTTCAGTTGATATGACGTGTAGTTCGACAGACACAAGACACGTATAATAAATCAACTTATATACTGATTAATAATAGAATAAAACTATGTTTAACAGCTACTCCAGTTATTTACGTTTTTTCAAAGGTAAGAAGTCATCCGCCCTGTTTAAATAAGTTGCTACTTCAGATTCCCTTATAACATTTGTTTAATTATTATAAAAAATAATGAAAAACAATATAAAACACTTTTATTTGTTCGATATAGGTATTTGGGTGGATATAATTAACAATAAATATTTTGAAAAAATACAAACAGGATCCCATCGAATCCAAACACAAGTTTTTATCAAGAGTAAGTTTTATTTCAGTTCATCCAAGTACCTATTTATGAAATCAAACCCTACCTTCTTTAAAGGAGTTATTTATTTAGTAATAACACTAAATTAATAATATCAATCCTAAGCACGCGTGATAGAAATATTATTTTATATATTGAAGAGAAGAATAATTATCATTTATTTTTGCCTTTTTATTTGGCTGTTCAACCCAACTATTCCTCTCTTCATTATTGACGACAGTCAACCATTTACCCACGATTATTTTATATATTACTTTTTTTTATATGTGATAAGACTACTCCAAGATTTGAACCCGATACATTTTAATGCTCCGATTGCAGGAATACACGAGTCTTCCAACATCATGCCTGTGCCGAGGGTCTGCGTCATAAATAACCGTGCGTTCTGGATCTTCGGCTCGCTGGTGGCCTTCTACATCCCGATGCTCATCATGGGGGTGACCTATGGGCTGACGGTCCATCTCCTGAGGAGGAAGGCCCAGTTCGTGGCGGCCGTCGGCGAAGAGGAGCAGAGCCACCTGCGGAGGCTGGGCGGCAGGTACCGGAGAGCGGACAGCACCAGGCAGCCCCACAGGGTCTCGGCTAGGGCCAGTGACAGGTACCGTATGCCGGCTTTAGCAGAACGAGTTAACATATAGTTATGTCGGGTAATCTATGATTATGTAATAGAACTAGTAAAGAATGATGTCATATGATTCGGAAAAACTTGGTGTAATAGTCTACTGTAATACTCTTCCACCCTAGAAGGAAACTCAAGGACATTAATTACATTATAATTACAATTACATTAATTAACCATCTGTTTTCATAGACGCATAGATGCAAGGAACATTTTGATGGCACGTACATGGATGTAATGTACTTGCAACGAGCTGTAACATGTAGTGGAACCGAACACTACACCAAGTTTCAATGTACATAACATCAAAATCCCTTATTTAATTTCACGTTATCAATTTTATTTAACAACGATGGTGAACAATTCCATATCAATAGGCTTTTAACAATTACTGGCTTTTATGTTAAAAAGAATCGATTTCGAAAATTTCATAAATTTTAAAGAGAACAACAGATATAAAATAACAATAGTAAGGCCCAGAGAACACACAGATACGACGAAATTATATCATAAATAAGAGTGAATCAACATGTAATACAAATAGTTGATCAACATAGAGTTAGTTAAACATCATATAATATCATGGAGAGTTATTCAACATATAATACAAACAGAAACATGACTGTATTAAAAATAAACACATAATTAGTAAGAATAATAATTACGATTTCTATAAAAAAAGAAATCAAAACTAACTGTGTAGTACCTACATCAACTATAGTGAGAAAATCACAATTATAATGCAAATATACATCATAATAGCTTACAATTCATATAACGTATTATTAATATAAACAAACTTAATTTTTCTAATTATCTACTGCCATTGAATAATCAGAGCCTTCCCTATACAATGTTAGAACCAGCCTAATGCCATTAGTATCAAAACCTTTAACAGATTCCGGAAGTTTCCGACACATGGCTGTCTCCCCTCCCCCTCCACAGCCCTCCCTTCTCCCTCACTCCTCCTCCCCCTCCCCCCCCCGCTCACCCGAACAAACACTGGTCGTTCGATCTCATTAAGGTTCAGGAGGGGTCGTATTGTTTGACAAGGTCTCAGCTCATTGTGCCTGGAATGGCTAAATCAAGCAATGAACCTTGTATTAAGTACCCCACAGCCCAAGTTAGGGCACTTAACATCAGGCATTATTTATGGAAACAAACGCGCAATGTTGGATAATTTGATAACAACCCTTCGAAATATATTATAATTAAGAGTAACGAAAGGGGAATCAGTCAGTAAATAAATTGTTTGAAATAATTCAAAGAAACGATGAGTTCAAAACTTCATACATATTTCAAAGACAATCGAAACAATTTAAAAGATTTATTAGAAATGTTATCGAAAACGCCAATGATCCACATAATGATTTTGATAAATAAGCAGCCTTGGAAGAAGTAAAAAAAAGAAAAAAACTAACATTTTAAAAAAATCATTTTAGGGCATGGATAATTAATTATTAAACACGATAAAAACTATGAAAATCAAAATTATATTAATAATGACTGAAACCTATAAAAATAATTTACATTTTCATTACAAGCCAAAAATAGAAAAAAAAAAGAATATTACTAATATTTAAACCAATGTTTCTCGAGCAATGTGTTAAGTAAATGATTTAAAAAATACGTTTTATGTCTTCACCAGCAGTGTTGCCCAAATGCGACACCGAGAGGAGTCTTGCTCTTGCGAAATCATTCTTGGTCATGGTCTTGGTCTTGCGCAAAATTCTCGCAACTGTCTTGCAATTACTTATTAACTTATTACAATACAGGTATTACTGTATTTTTTAGATTGGAGAAACCTAAGTAAGTCTGTATGAAAAATTAGAGGAGTTAAATGACAAACTATATTGGTTATACCAATTATTAACATACAGTAACTAAGATTGACAAGTATTAGTTACTATTTTGCCTTAAACTTTATTTAAAAAATCTATTTTTTTTACCATTCCTGGTCTTGGTCTTGCAACAGTTAGGCGGTCTTGGTCTTGCAAAGTGCAAGACCAAGACCGATTTTGGGCAATACTATTCACCAGTGAAACAGCTTTACGTATAGACATTAATACTTTTTTTTTTGTTTATTATTTTTTTTATGAAAAGGGGAGGGAGAGAAATTTTGCATTTTTTGATAGTATAATTTCAATCCATCCCTACCTCTAACCTCCCGAATAATGGCACTTCTAACATCCACCGGATCGATCCCTCAAATAGAACAAGATAATAAAGATAAGTAATTATTGGGAACAGCCATTTTAAAATTTTTCACCATTTCTGTTTGATTATTCAAATACAAAATTTATTAGATTATTAATAAATGGGTTTAGTTGCCGCCAGTAATAAAATTATAAATGCAATATTTAAAAAAAAAATAAGCAGTTTATTTTTCAAATAACTGTTTAATTCATGAATCTTCCTTCATAACATATCATTAAGTAGTTAAAATATTCCTGAAATAAATAATAACTATAAGCTTTTGCTCATATAATCGTTGCATCAGATAATATTTAGAATAATCACAACAAAAACCCGCTGAATAACACCATTAAATCGGGGACGAGGAAAAAAGCCACTCTAAAAGCTGTGGAGAAATGAATCTTGTATTCAAGAAATAATTCAATTCTAGGTTTGGACGGGAAATTCTATATAGATTCATATTTCGTTGATGAAAACATCGAGTGTAAAAAAAAAAAAAGTTCAAGGATGTAATAGAATGCCAGGAATAAAATCTCTGGCTACAAAGATCTAATCAGTTCAATTTTCAATTTTAATTAGAGTAATGATTAATTACAACAAAATAATAAAAGGCTATATGGTACCCTATTTCTAGTTCAGTTCGTCATGCATTTCTATATCAGTTTATATTTGACTATATATTCAGAACTTTTTTTATTAATTTTATTTTATGGAACCATAAATAATACAATCTGCTGCATAGAAGAGCAAAAAGTATCAAGGCTAAACGTGTTCATTCAAACCATATATAAACATAATAGAGAAATAAAAAAAAAAAAAAAAATTATAAATATAAATGAATGAGTAAACAAAATAATACATGAGAATATAATAACATACATAAGTGTAAAAAGAAATAAACCAATCAGTAATATTTAAGTAAATCTTCTTAAAACATTCACCCCTTTTTCGAACTAGATACAGGAAAATGTTTAAGTATGAATATCTTGAATCCCCTCGCGACCTACAGCAGGAGTTGTTGAGAGAGGTTAGAGAGCATCCAAAACGAACAAAATATAATCCCATTAAGAAATTGAATATCGAAACTATGTTGATGTTGATATAAACATATTAACATGATAACTAGGACATTTCCATACCAATCGCGGGTCAAATGAGGCAGTCCACGAGATCCTTGTGAGGGATGAAGGCTTCTCGCCTGCCAAGACCGTTACGAAGTTATTTCAACTAATCTATTGAGGAGTAATAGTATTTGGGTTCCTCGCTCCTTGTTACTAGAACCGTTTCACAATTCATTCATGTTACGAACTTCGGAACTCATTAGGAACTGAGTTCTAAACCGATCTAGCTATCATCTATTTTGTGTCATATAATAGAGACACGTGTTCCAAGAACGTTTAATAGCGTACGACAGCTTAATGTAAGACGTAAACAAAGTTTAAACTTTGTTTACAAAACGTTAATTTTTCAAGTAGCTATTCAATTATTCTCACGAAACTTATTTGTTGAAATTCTACTGGAACTTCGAATAAAAAATATATAAATATAATAATTTAAATCAGAGACTATACAGGCAACACAAACGTGCTTAGTTTTGAATTAAAGGTTAGATAACAAAATAAGACGAGTGAATAAAATCTTGGAGGGAAAAAAGTTAATTAATGAAACAAGTTACAGACCAAAGAAGTTCCCAGATCGTAGATATATTATGACAGATACCTAACGATTCTAAGAAACCTATTAGAGTTCAAAACTTTAACTTCTTTAAAGTAAAGATATTATCCCTCAACCAAAACAAATTAATTACTTCCCACGCTGTTTTAACACTTTAAAAAAAGAAACTTTATTTCTTTATTCATTTTGTATTTAAGTTGTTTTGCTTAACTTTTAAGCTATTTTTCTATTTCTTGTTTGTAATTTAATTTTGTCGTGCTTTGTTTACTGCCGCAGCGATTGTTCTACAAGCCGAACAATTGATGGAATTTAATCAATACTTTAAATCTTGTACATTAAAAAATTAACTATAGACTTCTTTCTTATAAAAATGTAATAAATAAAGATTTCTTAAAAAAAAATATTTGAAGTGTAATTAAAAATATGCCGATTTCAAGTCTTGGCATTTTGGGTATCAAAAGCTTACCAAATGGCTAAGATCTACCCAAAATTAGTGACCAAGAAATGATCAGAACAAGCTTGAACGTTGTATAGAATTAATATGTAAAAAAAAAAAAATCTAACTCGTTATATAATTTACTTTAACTAGTAATATCAATGTTTTTCTTCACTGCTTTTTAAGCACAAAGATAATTTTTAAGTTAATCAAATCAAAACACATTTTTAAACTTTGTTACAGATACAATAATAAGTTAATCATTAATAAATAATTTTAAATCATGTACATTAAAAAATAAACTATGAACTTCAGGTCGAAACGCCGGCAAATGTTAAAATATTATTATTTATTTTTGCCATTCTATTTCTGACTGGTCACCCCTAACATCATTCTCTTTATTATTCACGACAGTCAACCATTAACCCACAATTGTTAATCATTAAACTACGTATTTAAAGGAAATTTAGTAACAATACGCCACTTGGGTGAATCGGATAGGGTTTCCCCTCAAGACAAAAGTAAAATAAAAAATAACGGATTTTTTTTGTCTCATTTTATTTTAAATAAACGATCAACAGTTGAAGTAGCTAGAGAAGATGACCTCAGCCAACCTTAACCACCACACATAACTTCCTCATGTTTTATTATGGCTCATTAATTATATATTCAAAACGGTATGAAAAATCTATAGATATGTGAAAACTGCCCGTTATTCGTTATGGAATAAATAAGATACATGTTACCGATTTGAAAACACTCGATTCTGAAGAGAAAGAAGACAAGCCTGTAGTCCTTTTAGGACATTGAAAAGCAATTATTCAAACGATTTTTATAACAAATGACATAATTATCCAAACCGTTGGGTTAGACAGGATGACCGAGGACGATGTCTTGTGGTGTCCGGCCAATTTTCAGTCAATCAGCCACCACCTTATCGGCAGCCGAACAAGATTTGTCTTGACGGATTGAAGGATTTTAGATCAGTACTTCCCAGAATTTACGGCTTCCTTGGGAACAGGAAAGGCTTGTTCCAGGTTCCCACTGCTCCTCAGGACTGGACAGAATACGAAATCGAGATACTGGTAATAGATCTGACGTGGAGGATTATTTTTTTTTCCTTTTTTTTTTTTTTAATGTTCGTATATTGTCTAACCATGCTGATATTTATTTATCTATAACTTCATTCGTTTAATTATTATTATTATTATTAATTATTACTTATACTAATTCCTTATTTTAACATTAGTTTTATATATCTTTGAAATTTAATTAGTTTGTGTAATTTTATACCGGACAAATGAAGCTTTTCATTTATTTATTATCGTTATTCTTAGGAGACAAATTTACTTGAATAAAATTTACTTTTCTTATTCTTCTTGATCAGTATTATTCATAGTTAAATTGTATAAATCATTATTATACTTGATCCAATTTAAGAAGAATCGTACATTCAAAATTTATGAACAAAAGTGGGTATTAAATTCTATGCAATACGGTACTACATCCTGGAACCTTCATAATCATACTAATTTTGGTTCCAGTTTTGGCCCTCACTGCTTTGCACGAACTTTTGCGAATGAGTCTTCCATAGGAATGCATTTATTCATATTTCATTAACTCAAGTTTGAGGTATAAACTATGTTTTACTCCAACCGACCAATAACCGTGGGATAAAGCTAAGGTGCAATTCAGTAATGAAGAGTCAATTCACGTACATGTGATATTGAAGAACAGTAGAAAATAAAATGTTTATTTTATTATAAAATGTTTATTCTACAATGAATACAACTAAGTTATCATAGTTATTATTATTACGATACGATAAAATAGAGAATAACTAGGAAACGTATTACTACTTTCAGATCAAATTAGAAATTGAACTTAAATGAGAACGCTTCTAATTTAGAGATATTACGAAACCACAAGGGGTAGTCGTATACAAGGTTCTAGTATCGTTCTTAAGAAGTGCTAGGAGCATTAGAGTCGACTTGCTGCTAATGTAGGCTGTAGTTATAACACTCGTAAATGTTAATGGAAGCTGTTATTACTAGCAAAGTATATTATTCCGGAAACGAAATCATAACAGTTGCATTTTCACCAGACCTTAATTTTTATCAATATTATTTTCATAACGTTTATCTGCACTGTATAAATAAAAATCTATTTATATAGTTTTTAAAATTAAATATTTTTAAATCTAAAATACTTAATTCGTCAATATGCTTCGTGTTAATTTCATATACATATATTTTTTAAATTCGATTTATTCATTCTACGCCAAAACCAGTACTTGTAAGGCAAACTTAAGTAAAGCTAAAATACATTGAAAAAATAGGGTAAGCGCAGTAATGGACATTTCTAAGATTTTTTTTTTCATTTTTGGCTTATGCCGCCGTAATTATTATAGTTATAAACTTTTCCGTTGGACTTTTAGAATCTCTAGAGCCTCCGTTTTCTATTTAACACTTTAAAATTTGGAAAAAAAAATCAGTTGTGCAGATATAATCTCCGTTAAAAAAAAAACAACACTTTTTGGCACAAGTGATGGATACACCAAAATTCAATATTTCTAGTAAGGCACAGAGAGTAGGTACCAGTAATACATATACCTAAAAAAAAATCAAAAATCTTTACTTAACTATAAAGATAACGATAAAGATGAGGTAACATAAATGTTTAACTTACTCTTAGCAAAACTGTTAGCAGAAAGGTTTGAAACACAATGATCTCAAGAGCACTATAGAAACAACAAAGATAGGCATTTTAAAATTTTCTTTTAGGAACTTTGTTCATAGAGTTGTCCATAGAGGGCATTATTCTTCAATATAAAAAAACTGGAACCTTTAAATCAACAAGGGAGCTAATTATTTATATTTAAACTCCAACCTGTCCATAACTGGTGCTTTCACCCCAAATTTTCAAATAAGCACATTTTATTTGCTGTCAACATTTTATTTTATTATTTATTTGTCAAAATAAAATTCATTTCATCACATGTAAAAAAAAAAAAAAAAATCATATATATATATATCACAAAATAAGCTATTTTTCTTTTATTAATACATGGGTCCAGCAAACATTTCTTTAATCTGACAAGGATATCGCAAACATTTTTTAGCTTGACTACGTCCAAAAACGTTCGAGAACCGCTGATAAATTTTAATCACATATCTACCTAATTGTGGATCGGTTCATTTTATTTTAAAATAGACAAAAAAAAGTTTTCAAAGTTTTGTTTTCAACTTCGATATTTCATTGAAGATACTTGAAACAAGCGATAGTTCTTTTATGTTCAAAATAGTAAACAGAGACCCCGAACAGGCGAATAGGTTGTTGCCTTTGGCTGAGGAAACAATAGTTACTAAATCAATGGGGAGGAAACCCTTTACAGCCAACTTGAGGGTTGTAGTCGTAACGAACAACCGATTGGCGAAACCTATTAGGACACTCGACAAAACACCTGTCGTACGGGGTCCCTCTAATTCGAACCACACCGAATTACAGAACTTGTTCATTCGTAAAAATGTTCAAAGCAGTGGAACGTTTTTATAAAATAACAAGGCTCGCGTTAAATACATCAAAGGACCGTAAACGAGGAAAATATTTACTGAGATAGAATGAACCGCTTGATAGTTCATTTACATACAGCTAAACGATCAAAATAAAAATCAACATCAACTAGGGTAACACGTAATCGATAATCAAACGAAGATGAAAATTTTACTAAACAGGGCCCAATCTGAGAATGGTTCGGATCCTCAGGCTCCGAAGAGGAAGACCGAAGAAGATTGGTTGGAGGAACGGCGCAAACAATGAGGCTGGTCTGCCCATAATTGGAACTGCCACAAAATGCTGTCACAAGAGCGACAAAGATGGAAAGCTCTTGCTGAGACCATATGGCTTCTAGGAGCAGCATGGACATTGATGGATTGATCGCTTTTACAATAAAAAGTAAACACTATATTTATTATTTCAAATGTCTTTAAAATTATTTATGATTGTATTCGATCCAGTAATGAAAATTAAAAATGGACTTACCGCTATGGTTCTGTTATTTAATGTCACAATTAATTGTTGGCTTACCTAAAAAGAAAAAGAAAATATTATTAAAAAAACTAATAATTATGAAATAATTTTATCATTAAAGGAGCATCATTCCATTGTTGATGCCTCTGAAATTGCCTTACACCCTACTCTAGCCAATTTCCTTCGTTAGAAATTGATGTGTCGCAAATCCAGTTATCCTACAACACACCTGTTAAAATCCTGAATACAAGATAAACCCTGTTTGGAAATAACGAACCCTGTCGATTACATACTGAATATGAAAAAAAATAACTATACATATAATTATATTTTACATTTTCAATATGATATCCCTAATATAAGTTGCTACACTGAGTAATTTCTAATCTTCCATAAACGATTTTTTTTTTATCAGTAAAATATTCTAGATGTTTCGGTACCATTGTATTTACTGTTTATTCATTTGTATTATTTAATGGATAATTCGATTCCTAGGAAAAAATCATGTATCTTTAAATTTATAATATAAAAAACTTACAGTCCGTGGTATATTTTTATCAAATTATTAACACCCGGTTGAAACTTTGTAAATAGCTTCATATCATCGTAACCTACAAATATATTTGTTTAAAACTATTAATGGGTCGAACTCCTCATTCCGCATCGATACCTAACCAGCCTCATCCGTCCCGAGGCTAGGAGCATGATCCCCTTTGACCGATATATTGACCAAAGCGCAGAAATGTGTACACACACGGCTGGAAACCGACATTAGCAGATATACAACACTGACAGGTCCTTCATCACAATTTGTCTCGAGTAAATATTTACAAGTCCCAGGCTGCTGCTGCAAATCGTCAATAGCCAGAAGAAGTGAACCACGCTCGAAAATTAAATAATCATTCAATTCCGAAATTAAAACATTTTTCTTACCTATGGCACAATCTATTTTAGGACCGTTTAACTAAGTACATTAAACAACTGATACTCGAAACTATTACTTAGTTTGAAATATTCCAAGCCAAAGCTTAAAGGCGATATTAGATTTAGTGGTTGGAGAAGCCGGTTCCAATTTGCCCGACATGGTTGGACACAATCCAAACCGGTTTCCCCCAGCTTACTGTCAAATCTACAGTACTGCCTAAGGCCACTCTAAATTATGGAGCGGAAGGTGGTTTAGCTAGCAAACTCCCAATAAGTGGAAAATACGCGAATAAGCTTAGCCCTTCTGACTAGAATTTAAAAACAATTATTTTTTATTTTTGTTTATTTTAAATATTGGAGCTGGCTAGATAATAGAAGAACTTTCCGAATATATTTATCACACAAATTAATTTATGATTTGAATTCATTAAGAATATATTGTTTACATGTTATAAAACAAGTGTTAGTCAACTTTTATGTTGAATACGAACATGTACAAGCACTAGCGGATCCAGGATTTATTTTTGGGGGGGGGGGGCTTCAGCCCGAAAGTTTTTTTTTTCATAAAATTAACAATAATTACTTTGGAAAAAAAGAAACAAACAAACTACCTGTATGAAATGGTGTTTAAGTTATTCCTAAAGCACTTTTAAATGTAATTACATGAATAATAATACTTTAAGAGATACTTTTTAAATATTGTTTTCGGAAAAAAAACATGGTTATATTTTACCATTTTGGGGAGGGCTTCAGACCGAAAGCCTCCCCCCCCCCGTAGATACGCCCGTGTGCACAAGTAAATATAAAAAATATTTCATGCTTTGTTCAGAAAAGAAACAATGCAATAGAATGACTGAACAATATTATACCAAGATCCTAAAAAATTGATTATGTCATAAAGATAAAAAAAAATATCAATGTTAAACAAAAGAAGATAAAAAAAGTTATAATAATTGACATTTTCAAATATTAATAAAAAATGTAGAATTACAAGTGAAACAAAAAATAAAAATTATAGTTATCGCATTATTGCCTTTTCTTGGTTGAGATGACAAAACTGAGATGTTTCTACTGCTGAAACCAGTTAAGTCATATCTTTACCTATTTATTTTTTTGGAAAGATTTGTAATCACATTAAGTACTTTAGTCTAGTAATTAAACTTAATATCCCCATTTGTTCTAGAACCTTATCCCATACGAATTCATTACATTTCACTAGAATCTTATTTATCATCCAAATCCTCTAGCACAACCTGGAAGGTTTAAACGGTAGTGGCCCCGAGAGCTTTTGTAAATAAGTATATGTTGAAGTAGTGGCGATGATCAAACTCCCCATTCAAGCTATTCAAACTAATTACTAATACCAGTTAAAACAAAACTGAGCGAGAAGCGCTGTGGTCTATTTTGTTTATATATTTATTTTTAATATTTTCAGTTATTACATTTCTACTCACATATATTGTAAACATGGTGTGAATGAATTATTTCATTACATTCCAACGTCTTTAATAGTGGTAGAATGTAAATATAACTCAATAAAGAAATAGAAAATCAAAAATAACCTAAGACTTAATAAATACAGATTAGCTTTCATTTAGCAATTATCATAAATTAACTTCTATAGGCAATATAATCGCTATTTGTAAACTGAAAAACCTTTTTACAGGAGTATTTCTGAGCAAAGCCTGTGCAGCTGTGCAGCAAGAACTGAAGGAGATGCGTCTGCTCAAGCTGAAGAAGACGCCAAAAACAACAGAAGAAAAACATTGAGGTTGCAGCTCAATGCGACCACAACACCCCTAAATCTCAGGTAACAACTAAAGTAAAATAAAGTTGAGATAAGATTCATACCGAAAACGTGAGAATTGGGGATTCATGATCAGAAATCAAAATGTCTGACTTATTGATATCGATAAATTCTTCAAGAACATTTTATTTGCTATATTGGAATATATAAGACATTTTTTATTGATAAATAATTTAAGTCATGTAACTTAAAAATCGATCCATCCGTTCGGTTAAAAAATCTTTTAGTAGGCAACCCAAACACATAAATCTCGCGTCGCTTCTCTTACCCGAGCAATCAAGTAAAAATTCACAGAAACGTTAAAGTTGATCTTTATCAAAAATATACTTGGTGACTTATTACATATAAACCGACGATATTAATTAAACAGTAAATAATGTAAACAAAAATTAACATATCTTGATGACCAATTCCAGAACACCTACAAAAGTGCTCCCTCCTAGATGGTACCACTACCATCATGATGGTATGTTAGGAAGGAGCGGAGCATATTCTGCCCCACCCGGGTGAGGATCCTGATGAGCAGGAATACGGTCCCATAAGAAGCCATTAAGTCCCGCCCTCATCTTGTTAAGTCCCCGCCGTTTCGCTTCCATTACCTCGGGCTTAATTACCAACGCTCTTCCTCTAATTCTTACCTCATCATCCTGCGGGCCCGACCATTCTGTCCCACCTTTACACCTTTCGTCGTAAAAGTCAACTAAAACTATATGAAAACTAAGCAACTAAAATCTTACTGCTAAAGTTTTTACGCTACTTATGCTCATTTGTAATAATAAAAACGTTGCAATATTCTCAATAAAAAAAAAAATAAAATAAAATAAAAAAAAGAACAGAATACTACTTATTATTTCTTTCGTTTCATCTGCATCATTCTTTTTTTAAAACTTGACAACTAACGAAACTTTGATATATTATTAAACCAAAATATATTATTTTTCGCCCGAAATAAAAACTAAAACACGCTTTGGTATTTTGCAACAGTAAAACATATAGTTAATTTTTTATATAAAAAGAGGCAATTAAATTGATGCAGAAAACATTAATTTAAAAAGATACAATCGAAGTTATCAATAAATATATAAGTTTTTGAGTCTTAAACGTTTCGTTCATAAAATGTTTCAGTAATTCAAAATGTATGGACGAAAATATGTATTACAAAGAGATAAATATTTTTAAAACATGTACTGGAACATTCAATCGGTGATTTTTTGATTCATTTATATAAAATAGATATAAAAACCCCAGACGAAAAAAGGATCAAAATGAAGGAATATATTGACTATATAACACATTTTCAGCGTGGGGATGTAATTTTTAGAGAAAAACTGAATCACCTAAAGGCATAATCAATAGTTAGAACAGAGGAATCTAAAAGTATTTCAAATTTAACAAATAAATCGGTTAATTGAGTTTAGGAAAAGAATATTAGAATACGAGCTTAAAATATTAAATAATCGATGATTCGTTTTAAAAGCCAGAAACCGAGAATACAGCCAACACAAAACAGACATTTTTACGAAAACTCCATTCCGCCCCCTAGCACTAGTTTATATTAATATTTATTCATAGCGTTAATGCCCTCCTTCTATACTTAATAGCCCATTATTCAAATTCAGGGTATTTTAGACTTCTTTCAGGAGAAAAGAAAATGGAAATGATAATTTATTTAAAGACTTTATTATTCAATTTTAAAGATTAAGAACAAAATATAACAATACCACAAAAAGACGAAAGACATCAAGCGTATCATAATAATCAGGTGAATTAATTAATAATACAATTTTTCTTAACATGTATTTTATAGAGACTATAAACTAATATGAATTTCAAAAAAGATAAAAAGAACTCTGATTAGATTGAAAAGTTATTTTTAAAACTAAATAATACATGTTTCATTCGGTATATCACAGTAAGTATATCTTACTGATACTCAGTAAATATATCTTATTAATGCCGGTTTTCTTCAAATCCGCCCTCGGTAACTGGTCAAGATACAGTTGTGTTTAACAGAAACATGCACAAATATAATCATAATAATAATAATAAAAGGCTTAGCGAACCCGAAGGTTCGATGCCGACACCACCAATCGCTTATTACACACCTCCCTCCATCGTTCGCCGTCCAAACCCAGTCCCTTCAGATCGGCTTAAATGCAATCCTCCCACCTTCCCTTCGGTCTACCCCTCGGACGCTTACCATTCGTCACAGCAAATATTAATTTTTTAGAAATTCTCTCGTTACTAAGCCCAACAACTTTACAAGCCCATTTGATTCGCCGCGACGAAATTACCTCAATTATATTACCCGGATACAGTTCACGCAATTCGGCGTTGTGTAACCCTCTGAACTCTCCGGTTAACTCATCCTTCTTCGGTCCGAATATTCTACGCAATACTTTATTTTCAAAAACCTTAAGACGCTGCTCATCCCTTAATGTAAGCGGCCAAGTTTCGCATCCATAAAGATCTGTAGGCAATATAATATAATCATAGTTTCATAATTATTAATACGCGTTATTTCAGATAATCTAGTGTAACCCTAATAATAGAGAAGAACCACTAAGTGAACTGAATGATTATAAATTAATTTGAATGAATGTAAATTTAATATTTAATAGTTTACCTAGGACTCCATCTGGACAAACCTCTAACTTGGAATCCTCATACCAGACTGAAACGACAAGAAACAGCTCGACGTTTCCGACTACTTCAACACTTACTAGACAAATGTTCTAACCTTCCAATTAACTATAAAAGACTAATTTACATGACTATAATAAGGCCTATTTGGACTTAAGGAGTTGAGCTATGGGGCTCCACCAAACCTTCAAATTCCTTTCGTATCCAATCCTTACAATCCAAAATCCTTCGTAAAATCCTCAACGCTCCTTACTTTGTCACAAATAAAATCACCCATAAAGACCTTAATGTTCCATATGTTTCCAATTTGGCCCAATCCAGATACCTGTCCTTCCATAACAAACTGCAGAACCATCCGAATCCTCTCGTTTCAAACCTTGCTTCCTCCTCGATCCCTGATAACCCTCCGAGGCGTCTGAAAAGAAGATTGCCTCAGGATCTTCTAATATAGAACTTTAATTTGAGTTCTACCAATGGGTAGTTTCTCTTCATGTTGTACATGTCATGTTACCAATTTCACATTTACTTATTGTATTTTCTATGTAATACAGTTGTAAATTCCATTAAAATAATAAAAAAAATAATTATTATGTATAATTTATGATATTATTAATCTCGCCTTCTTGATGTTTTCACTTCGTCGTGTGGTCTGAAGCACACACATTAGTTTTTACGAATTGAGTCTGTGTTGGAGGAGAAAAGACTTTCGGGGTTTTTAACTTTTCTATCATCTCCACAATTATTCGTCTTCCCAATTTTTGTACGGAGACATCTATAGCAACTTAAATGAAGTTAAAAGGTTGAAATTTTGTATATAAATTGAGTTGGTTTTAGAGAAGTGCTTTATAGATGGGCCCAACATTTTTCACAAATTCACGATGAAACCATTAAACCAGTTTTCATCTGTTTTCCAAACAAAAAACTGGAGGAAAACATAAAACATAGATAGCCTCAGAATCAACCATTCATGTCTTTATTAACATTTTATTTATGGCTTATACATAACTTACTTTCATACTTACTTTGTAAATATATATAAATATTACTAATTAATATATAAATAATATATAAATTAAAAATTGTATTAGCTAATGAAAATTAAAAGACAAGACTTAAATCAATAAAAATACTCATAGATACATAAACGTTACCTTCTCTCCTGAAAACTTTATGAAGCTTATGAAAAACTACAAACCTGGAAAAAGGCTATTTAAAGTGAAAAATCCGGAGGTAATCGGGGTACAAATCTTTATCTCTTTTTTCATTCCAAACCTGCAAAGCCCGGGAGTTTTCCACTTTAAGTAGGATATTTTTCAGTTCATCCCCGGCAAAAGAGGAAGTTTTTTTTTGGTTTGTTTTTCTAGTCTTTTTTTTTTTTTATTCTAGGCAGCAGCATTTTAAAACTTTGATCGATATAAACTTTTAATCAACCACCCTACCCTCGAGGTATTTGATGAATAATTTTAACAAGGATAAAATACGATTTTGTAGATGTGATCAGTAAAAAAGCAAAGAGGAAAATACATTTCCTAAATCACACTAAAAAAATTAAGTAAATTAGAGGTGCTTGATTTCCCCCCTAATCTACGTTTTATCACATCTACAAGAAGTGTTTATATACAGTACAGGCGTATATTTAAAAAAATATTTTTTCCCTTCTGTAAATTTTGAAAATATAGCTAAACAGTTAATAACTAGTATTACTACAATAAAATATATCTATATACTGGGATAGTAATTTTTAAGTGTAATAAAGTTTTATTTTAAAAAGATAATGTAATTGTTTTTTACTTATAAAATTAAGAAAACAAATCTTGAATACTAGTCGACTACTACCTGGATTGGACACCCCTGAACTGAATTTTCCAAGAGAAGAGAGTAAATTATTTTTAAATTTAGGAAGAAAAACAAAGTTGAGACTTACTTATTTTTTATATTTTAATGAGAGGTTAATTAATAATGAAAACTCAACATCCAATGTTTTAGTGCCATAGATAAGTGCTAAATAGAACAATGTCCGGTGAAGTAAAAAATGATTTTTTTAAAATTTAATTTTCATTAATACTCCGATACAAGTACCTCCTGACTTAACAATAAATGGACAAAAACAGTCTCAGGAATCTAAACTCTACGCCTCTGATTCGTGGACCAATAACCCCTAAATCAGAATTGCTTAACCTTTTTACTTTAATCTAAACAAATTTATAATTACATATTTTATATATGACAAAAAAAAATAGTAAACTGCACCACTATGAAATGCAGTAGGCTGGGAGAAGGCAATGAAAAGCTAGTCGTCCACTAGTGCAGTACGTAAGCGCTGTGCGGCGCGAAGAAGAACCACTCTCGAACGAAATTATTAATCTCTTGCTCAATATTTTTTGTTTTCGATCATACTGTTACGAGGATAACTTACTATGTTTTATTATTTAGATAAAACACTTGGCAATAACCAATTAAATTTATTTTTAAATAGAAAAGTAAGATTCATTTATGCAGAAAACAAAGAGGATAAACCTAAAGGTTCCGTTTACTAGCATTCGGCATGAAAGCGCGGAGCGGTTTAATAATAATAATACAGAAATAATACTTCTGGTACACGGTAACGCGCCGCACATCCTCACCAACCAAATGGGCGACTAGCTTTAAGGGCGACTCCTGTGCTAAATGAAATAAATAACTAAGAACTTTTATTCAAAAACGTAATTTGATTTTATGTTATCAATTATATTATTTCTAACAGTTTCTTATAAATTCACTTTAAAAGTATTGCTTGTTACAGACAGGTGAAGCAGGTTTTATATTGTTGAGGATTTAGTTGAATCGAGATTTACGTGTTTCTAGATTAGATTATTTTGACGATCTGGTGAACTGCAGGTTCCTGGCCAACCGGAGGCAGCGGCAGGCGATGACCGCCAACGTGGTGGCCACCGAGCAGAAGGCCTCCAAGGTCCTCGGCCTAGTCTTCCTCACCTTCGTCCTCTGCTGGGCCCCCTTCTTCATCCTCAACATCATCTTCGCCGCCTGCCCCGCCTGCTTCATCCCCCCTCACGTCGTGGATATCTGCCTGTGGGCGGGCTACCTCTCCTCCAACATCAACCCCATCATCTACACCATATTCAACAGGACCTTCAGGGAGGCTTTCATAAGGTGAGGCAATGAGTAATATTATCCAACTGTTTGGTACTGAACCTTAACTATAATTTAGCCATCCTAGTTTCCTCTCTCATTTTACCGTAATTCGATCATTGTTGCCTTGTATACGGTGGACTGTCTGGTGAGCATCAGAATGAAGAGACTAATTACTAGTTTCACTAGATTAATTTTTGGAACTTACAGATGCAGATTTTTGACTGCTATATTTCCAAGGTGTATTCCTTTTCCTAACTTTTACAAACAAAAATCCTGTTTATCTTCGTGATTAGTTCACTTTTTCAACCATGAGATATCAGCGCCAAACCTCAATATTCCTTCTCATAAACTGCTTCCTTTAAAAAATCGTCGGCCAAGTGTGCCTTACCCATCTCCATCCAAAAATCCTCATTTTTTTCATCTCCTCAGTAAACAATCTTCAGAATGTGTATAAAAATTAAATTTACGTATTTTAGGATTGAAAACCACTTTTTACTGTTATCTTATATTATCCATATTGCTTATCAGCGAAAGTATGTAAATACACTCATACATATATAACTATTATTTCATTTGTTTACTTATGCCATTTTTTTTCTTCCTTGTCTTTTTTCCAGAAGTAGATCTTTAGCTGCATGAACCAGCATTCATCCTCTCTACCTATCTTAGGGCTATTACTTCCTTATATATATATATATATATATATATATATATATATATATATATATATATATATATATATATATATATATATAAACACATATATAATATTAAATATGTTATGCTTAGAATTGTGAAATGAACATCCTGATTTTACAAACGTTGCTGATAGTATTTTCTATCAAAATAGCAAACAATACTTTATATTATTTTATTTGATACTATAGGGACAGTAGTGGGGGCAACATTTTATAAATGGCATCTCAAATTTGTGTAACCGTTATATGAAAATAATACGAAACCTTTATTTCGAAAAACGCATCAGATAATTAGTATAATATACGATCAAATGCAATAAATAAAAAAATAATAATAAAAATAAATAAAATAATACTAATGAAAAAAAGATGGCACATCACAGACACTAAATGCAATTTGTTTCTTCTGAAATCGAGATATTTTTCCAAAGGATTCTAAATATTTCCCTCAATCAGTCCAGAAAGTAGAATTAAATAATGAATAAAATTTTACTTTTAAAAATAAACAATTGGCTTAGGCAATCCCACTTACTGATTTAAAAATCTGACATCCTCGTAACGCAAATGATAATATTTCTAAAACTTCATCAAGTAGAAAATTTTAAAAATAAATACCTACTTTATATATATTTTTAAAAAGCCTACCTAGGGAAAGCTGGATGAAAGGGGGCGTTAAAGTGACGGAGAAAATTAAATTTGGATGCCAATCATTATAAAAAGCGACAGTTTTCAAGAGAGAAATTTCTCCTTCCCTTCAAGTCTCTACAAACGCTATTTGCAAGCATAAATTATGAATCGGACCGAAGTGAAAACATTCGTCGCCAACAGTATTTCGCACTTAAAGTTTCTATAATTTACTTTTCTATCTTGCGAAAGACCTACTTCTGATGATGGCAAAATGTAAAGTAACCGCTTAATCTTATATCTGAGCCAGTCGTGAAAAAATAGTGGGATCTATTGAAGCAAAACTTCAAGCTAGACACTCGAGAAGAAGGCTGATTATGGCGAAAAAAAGATATACAAGGACTCAAAAGTTAATAGAAAAGATAAATAATATATAATTTATTTATTTATTTTGATTATGAAATGATTGATTATGATAAATGTAGTCCATAAAAAAAAAATATAATCCATGAAAAAAAACAAAAAAAAAAACGTTCATATAAGAACGATTAATCCAACAGTTATTCCAGTTGTTATTTTTCATAATAAAAGAAAAGATACTGATACAATAAAATACAAAGCTGAATCATTTAAAGGTATCATTACTAGATAACATTCTGGATAGGTTCCTCAAACCACCATCCTAAGCGACTAATCAACTGTTACTGCCAAGATTTAGTGTTATGGCTCCTGGTTATGGCGTACTCAGCATGCTGCCTTAATCATCCGCAATCTATTAACCCAAATAAGTGACACAATATCAACTTATCAAACCTATAGGAGCCTGAGGAGGACACGTCCTTCATTACTACAATAGTTGATTTGTATTCACCAGAACCCCGCTTAACTGCATCCCGATAAATCTGGTCTCCGGATTAGCCGGAGGTAAAAAGGGAAAACATTAATTTGCTTAGGTAATCATCAAGACTGAACCATTCCAGATAAGAAATCACTAACATATAAAACAAAATGCGGTTTTCACAAAAGCAAATCTTGGCTAGTGAACTTACGAGGATTAAGAGGGTAGTTGACGGCTAATATTTCACCATAATGTGAAGTTTGGAAAATAGGAATATATTACGTTAATTTTTTCAATAACACGTGGAATTTTCTTATTGTTAATGAAAAATTCTGTAGAAAAAATTAATAAAAATTGCAATAAATACTACTAAAAACTATATGTAAATTTCTTTTGAATTGGAAGAAAAAATTATTTAAATACATGACTTAACATACCGTTCACCGGGCTTACTTTGGGACTACGGGGTGGACTAAAATAGAGTTTATTATTTGGTTTATTAATTATGTGGCGCTCTTAAAAATATTTTTTATCGAGACTACTTTCCTTAAGTCTTGATAAAACAATGTTCCAGTCCATCTGTATCTGATACATATAATATGGATATATTTTTTAGTTTGAAAACGTATCCATTGAGTAGCGCAACTTTGATTTCATTCCATTTTTGATTTAAATTAATTTTATTAATTTATCAATCAGAACATTTATAAATAGCCAGTTTAAGTATATTTATTTGACAAATCTAAATAATTAAACATTGCACTAAATTTCAATGATTTTTTAATACATATTCATTATTTTAATGTAGTTTACTTTAATGCAGGGTATAAATATTTGGATAGTGCTTCCATTGGAACCTTAAACTTATTCAATATTGGTCTTAGATCCTTATTTATTTTACATAATTTGATCAGTCCAAGTACCGTAGGAATTTCAATGTACCTGTCATGTATTCTTATTTTAATTAATTAATTAATTCTTAATTTAATTAATTTGAATATTTTACAGGTTAATGTTTTATTTCTATTGATCTAATTATCGATATAATTACAATTTATACTACATCCATTCCTTCAGGTTGCGTTTGTATGATTCTCTGAAAACTTAATGTTATCGTATATTATTTTCAAGCCTGTCATTATTTATTTGTAACAATTTGTATAAATTTATAATATCTTTAAAATTTTATTAATAGGGTGACAATTCGTAGTATATACATTTTTTAAAAATATTTTAAATAATTTTTAATTAAAAAAGTTTTAATTAAGAACATACGTGAAATATATAATGTGTTCTCAGTTCGTTGGTTATAAAGGAACAATACTGAAACACCGAAATATTATCAAATATGATGATCAAAGGATTGTGGAAAATATTAATTATTTAACTTATTGAATCAAATGTTATTTTAATTTCTTCTTTTTTTCCAAACTTAATAGCAATATCAATTAAAGGACGAGATCTCAATTTCTATCAACAACTCAGAAAGCGTCTTGGTGGTTTCAACAAAAAAGTTAGCATGGGAAGGAGTTTGAAAATAGTGGCTTACTCAAGTTTCTTTACCAACTCCGTACTCTCCGACATTTCTTTTCTAACTTAAGACTTCCATTACCTGTGAGACATGGATGGCGCTGTTGAGATTCTTATGTTACAAGGCAAAGGAACATGTTCGTGTAACTATTTCATTTGACTAAGGAAATATGATGAATGTCACGTACCTTGTTGAAAAAAAAGTTGTAAAAAAGAATCCAAAGAGTTAAAAGAAGGTAAAAACTTATTAAGACAAATTATTTCTTTTCCTACCTACCAAGTACGTAGGTATATTATAGGTATTGTACCTATAAGTACAATGTCCATAATATACAAAAGTTTGATTACTTTTCAATAAGCTGAGACTTGTTCCACAATGTTTGAAACTACTTCCCAATTTCCATAATATTTAAAGACACCAATTGACAATTGTAGAAGCATTATATCAGACAAATAAAATACACTGCCAGACCAATTAAACTATTCTCTTGATCTTTTCTCGAACATATGGGATGTATCATCGACCTAGTTATCATTTTAAATTAAAGATCATAAAAATAAGGGCATTGAAAAAAAAAGTGTTAATCTGAATATTTGTCATTCCACTAAAAAGTTGATAGATATAATTAGTGTTGCGAGACCGAGACGAGTTTTGGTCTTGCAAACTCAGTCTTCGTCATGGTCTTGGTCTAGCGCAAGAGTCTTGCAGTTACTTATTAGCTCATTACTATAGAGATATTACTGTAATTTTTTAGATAGGAGAAACCTAACTAAGCCCGAATAAAAAATTAGAGGAGTTGAATGCAAAAGTATAATGATTATACCAATTATTTACATACAGTAACTAAGATTTTCAAGTAGTAGTAACTATTTTACGTTAAGTTTTATTCAAAAAAATCGATTTTTTTTTTTACCAGTCCTGGTTTTGGTCTTGCAATAGTTAGGCGACCTTGGTCTTGGTTTTACAAAGTGCAAGAACAAGACCGATTTTGGGCAACACTATATATATAAATGTGCTTTCTACCCAGTGCTGCGTTTCACTAGCCCATCACTTGAACTAACCCCCAACAAGACACTACATCCTTAAATACGGTAAAAATTCGTTTCAACTTTCAGAATAGCTTATAAAATAAAGAAAACTATTAGAAAAGAAAATCATACTTTGAGAATAAAATCATTGGAATTAGGGTAAGAGCGCACCGGTGAAGGACATAACTAAGGAAATGTTTGTCTTTTTTGGCTTATGCCGTCATAATTATTATAGTTATAAACTTTTCTGTTGGACACTTAGAATCTCTAGGGTCTCCTTTTTCTATTTAACAATTTAAAATTAAAAAAATATTCAGTTATGCAGGTATAATCTCCATTTGAAAAAAACACCCTTTTGGTGTTTTGATGGAAGTGATGGACACTCCGAAATTTAATTGTTCTAGTAGTGGACTGAGTTCGGTACCAGTAATAGAAATATCTCAGAAAAATTTTAAAATCTTTTTTAACTATAAAGATCACGATAAAGATAAGATAACAAATTTTCAACTTACTTTTAGAAAAACTGTCACTAAGAAGGTATGAATACGCTGATCTGAAGAGCACAATAGAAACAACAACGATATGCATTTTAAAATTATCATTTGGGAACTTTGTTCATACAGTTGTCAACAGAGGGCTTTGTTCTTCAATCTAGAAAAAAATGGTACCTTTCAATGAACATGGAAGCTTATTATTTATGTTTCAAGCCCAACCTGCCTATGGGTTCCCTATCCATAACTGATGCGTTTACCCTACTGGACATGTTTAATTATAATCATCGTTTAGTAAATCCTATTTTAAATAATCCTTCTCAATTTTTAAAATATTTTTTTACAACGTTAATGTACTGCGGCCTCATTGAAGACCCGCAGTGTGCCGTTTGATCACCTGTATAAAAAGAGCAGTAGCCTCTGGGAACTAGTGGGATCAATTAATTCGCAGAGCTTAGGAACAATAATGCAATCACAACCAAAATGGAAATACCGCATCCTAGCAAATAACATCGCATCTGCATATTATGTAGCGGGCGGTTTCATCCCCCAAATGACAGAATCTGCAACTCGGTCAAGCACTTAATCCTAGATTAAACTGGTGTTCATTAACTCGACAGTGGCCCGCATGCTCTTACAGTTCTGTTAGACTCCTTAATAAAGGGCTGCTTTCCATGAGGAGAAGTGAAGAATTGATCTTCTCTCCAGGCAAGGTTTTTCTTCGAACAACTATAAAGAATACATACAGTTATCTTAAAAATCATTTTGCCACAGTTTGGGCTAATATCACAGATGAGGTGCTAAAGGTACCTGTTCTGAAAACATTCAAGTAAGGCAATATCTTCATGTTTCTGAGGTCATCCTTTTATCTATAATAATTCTAGCCATTTGATTGCATTATGTCCACCTAAATCGAAGGTCAGAGTCAAAGTACCTGTATACCGATTAGCATAAACCTACGACTGTAACTTGCTCGAATTGTGTTATATAGCTCACTTATTATAATTGTAATATACCACTGTTGCAGGCTGCTGAAGTGCCAGTGCGACGATGACTACCATCGCCCGCTGCGATACCGCTCGGTGACCGAGGGGGGCCAGAGGACCCTGCCGTCCACGCTGTCACCCCAGGGGTCCCTGACCCCAGCATCGGCCAGCTCTTACCTTAGGACCCCATCGGCCTTCCCCGACACCTTCTGCATAGCAGCCAGCCAGTGAACTCGTACTCAGGTTGCTAAGGACTTCCCACCAATGGCGATTCGAATTTTCTTCAGACATTAGAGAGTTCGGTCAGCCTGCGAGGCGTTTCCATCACCTTATAGTTCAACCTTCGATGTGAACAAGTGGACGAGAGTTTATCCTATTCACTAACTTATATTTTGAATAGAATATTCAGTTTCAGCAATGAAGCATAAACATGGTTTCAATGATAAGCATCATATGATCAAAAATTCGTTAACTACAGACCAAGTGTAAATAATAAAGTAAGCAAGAAAGAATATGTAAATAAATGTGTTGATACAAAAACAGTTTTAAAATATGAGCTTAGTCGATCAATTTGGATGGGCAATAGAACTGTGTAACAATCGATGTTCACATTACAATAGTCTTCATATTCAATGTAAATAATTGATGTCGTGTCATGCATATAAGTGTAAATTAACATTGCATGAATGTCATTGTAATATAATAACAATATAATTGACATTTGTAATTACAACGAAATATGTACTTAAATTAAAGAGGTTACTTAGCGAGTTAAATTTTATATGGTAATTTAATTTAAATTTTATAAACCTGTGATACTGAAAATTGTTATACGTGTACCAGTAGTTAACTATCCTTAGATAGCGTTGTGGAATGCTTAGAAAATTAGTGTATTGTGACAATTGTAGCATTGTAATTTTTAAAAAATATGTGCTATAGACATTGAGTAGACAAATCCAACAAATTTAGACATTGGAATAAGTAAAAAATTATATTCCTAAAAAAAATAGAATTTATGCCTAAACGAAACAGGTCAGTTTCCAAAAGACCACGATAGGGGAAAAGCCACGCTATACACTCCAAATTTATTTATATTGATTAAATTACGATCAATATGTCAAAAATAAATTTGGGTATATATTTAGTAACATTAAGTCCTAAATATTCACTTAAACTATGTAGGTGTCAAATTTTATTGGTCATTAAAAATTATTATATAACAAAAAGGAAAAAGAGAACAGGTTAATAATTTGCACAATACTGTTAAAATTATAATAAATAAATAAAAGAGATTTTTTGAGCATACTGTGAAAATCTATAGTAACAAATTAAAAATAAAAAAAAAAGCTAAATCTGAACCATTTATTTTATATTATATTAAGGTTAAACTAAACAAAAAAAAAAAACTATTTATATTAATATCATAGATAATAAACATATTCATTGAGGTACTTAATAAATGCGAAACACGAATGTGTTCAAATTTATTTGAAAATTCCAAGTAAAATAAGAAAAATTAAGTCACCTATTAGAAAAACATAGTTCGCATACAATATTTCTTTATTGAAAATTCAATGAATAATAAAAACCTACATTTATCTCGAAAAATTGTTTGATACTTTGTAATGTTAACGATTGCATCTGTAAACATACACTGAAAGAGGTACTACATGAAATATGTAATAAAAAATTATATCGAAATCTCAAAAGTACTATAAAGTTTATTGTTCACCACAAATCTAATAAACAAAAGAAGCATAAGTTGGATAGAATAATCAAATTTGTTTTTAATGTATATCAGTAACAAACTATTTTATTACAAGATGCAATATAAATTAAAAAAGGTATAGTCCTTTTTTAAATACATATTACATTGTATTACATTGGATAGATATAACTTTAGTTAAACATCGGAAGGAACTATTACAAAAAATAATTGAAAAAAATTATATGATACTAACAAACGAATAGTATTATAAATATAATACTATAAACTTAACATTATACTAAAAACAGTAAGTAAGCGATATAATAAAAAATTTATGGTCAATAATACAACATCTAACCTTCGGAGACCTAGAAACGCCTCAGTCATTCCTTCAGTCAAAACTTGTAACTAGTTTGTAGAGCATGTGTAACTTTGTACTTAATACCTATATGTAACATTATGTTATAAGTTTATGTAATGTTTATAATAAAATAATAAATATTTTATAGTCTTCCTTCATCTTATAAAAATGTAAAAAAAAAGAGAAAAAAAGAAATTGGTATTGTACATTAATTATAGCAATGATAAACTCTTTCATATTAATCACAATAAGACTTCCTCTACGTAATGGCACGATAAATATTGAAATGGTAAGATTGCTAATTATTTGAAAAAAAACATGGAAATATGCACTAAACAAAAATGTTATACACTAATTTTAAAAATAATATAATTCATATTCACATGTAAATGTGATTGAGAATTAATGTAAAGAATTTTCTATGTAAATATATAATGTAAGGAAGAAAAAAAAAATTGAAACTATTGACAAAGCATTTTTCACAAAATCATCATCAAGTATCATAAAGAAAAAAAAATTAATGAACTAATGGTTTAACGAGTTAATAATAAAAAAAAAACTTATTTTTGTGGAATCACTGTCTTGCCCAAATTCCGATTTCAAAATTTTTATATTCTTTTTTATCTCACGAGGTCAAATTTACTCTTCCACCATCTCCGGTTCAAACCCTTCATTTACTTAACTTAATTAAGATGTGTAATAAATTGGACATTCCGAAAATAAATCATAAGGAACGATTAATGGGACATAGAGGGTATCTTTTATCTTTTAATTGCTTCCACTCTAATCTCAATATTTTGAGACAAAAACAATTTAATTTTCCTCTGTAAATAGAAGTGAAATTTTACAAAATTTTGAATATAAAAAGTATTATATTGTATACAAATTTCATATACTTATTTTTTTTTTACTTTCACTTTTTATAGTTGACATTGCCATATAAAAAAAAATTAATAACATAAAATATTTCTACTGTATGAGGATATTTTTTAGTGAAAATGAAACTTTTTGAAAAAACATTGTATTAAATTGCAGCTTTTTTATAATATTAACCTGGGCATTCTGATATATTTTTTTTAAATTCTAGTATTTAAAAAATCAAACAGAAAAGAAAAATAATTATTCATTATTTTGTAAATTTATTGCAAAAAATCATTAAATATATCACTTTTATAACTGTATTATTTTATTTGAAAACTATTCTTTTTAAAACTGACAAAGAAGGCCGCTATATTTATTTATGTTTCATTGTAAGTATTTATATTTGTTTAAGCCTGGCATATAAATTCTATTTTTTATGATGCTGTAATCAATACAATAAAACATGGGTGATAAATATTCAGAACGCAGTCATTCTAAAGATTTTATTAGTACCAACGTTTCAACCCAACCATGTAGGTCACCATCAGGGAATGTTTTGAGCACTGAAGGTATTCAAGTATTGACAGTACTTGAACTGTAGACGAGTACTTGAATACCTTCAGTGCTCAAAACACGCCCTGATGAAGACCTACTATTTGGGTCGAAACGTAGTGTGAATATTTATCATATACTCATGATGTGTAGAACAGCCGACTAAAATCCTCCAATATACAATTAAACAATACCAACGCCAGCATTTATGAAAACCGAACATGTATTTTTATATAATATTATCGAAACTTGTATTATATTAACCACGTGTTACGTATGAAAGCTTATCCTCAACTTTCGAACAAGCTCGACTGTACTGGGTAGTGTTGCACACTGCAACTTTGCAAGACCAAGACCAAGGCCGCCAAACTGTTGCAAGACCAAGACCCTGGACTGGTAAAAAAAATGATTTTTTGAACAAAAATTAAGGCAAAGGAGTTACTAATACTTGACAATCTTAGTTACTATATGTAAATAATTGGTATAACCAATATAATTTTGCATTTAACTCCTCTAATATTTCATTCGGACTTAGTTAGTTTTCTCCTATCTAAATAATTACAGTAATATCTCTATAGTAATAAGCTAATAAGTAACTGCAACACCATTGCGAGACTCTTGCGCAAGACCAAGACTCGTCTCGGTCTCGTATTTGGGCAACACTAGTACTGGGGTACTTCGGTTCTTAATTATAATCCCTTATTTCTTCCTAAGTCAATTACCAAATTCTCCATATTTTATATTTAACCATTTTTTTAAAACAGGTTACAATGTGAAACGGGTAATAATTTTAAATAAAAAAAATTAAAAGTACTTAGAACGATGGAAGTTTATGGAGACATACAAGGAATCTTTTAAAGCATCGTGAGGTGTCAGCACCCCTACGAAGAGAGGATGGCTCTTGGGCTGTTTCGGACGAGGAAAGATCTGAACTCTTTGCTAACCATCTTTCCACTGTTTTTAAACCACATACAGACTTAATTAATACAGAACACGATATTTTTGTACATAATAACTTAGACATACCGCTACAGCTCACACTACCACCACCTCCTTTCACACCATCACAAGTTGCACAAGAAATTAGACAATTGCCCAAAAGAAAAACCCCTGGTCATGACTTGATAACTGCTGAGGCGCTCAAGCAAATGCCAAGGAAAGCTCTAGTGTTTCTTACCACAATCTTCAATTGCATTCTCAGGACCACTAAATTTCCTATACAATGGAAATACTCACACATAACCATGATTAAAAAGCCAGACAAAGACACTAACAACCTTTCTTCATATCGACCGATTAGTTTACTTCCAGTATGTTCTAAGTTATTCGAAAAACTATTGTACCCACGACTATTACATATACTAACAGACAGACAGATTATTCCTGATCATCAATTCGGGTTTCGAAAATTACATTCAACAACACAACAATTGCACAGGGTGACTGACTACATCTCTACAGCACTAGAGCGGAAATTATATGCAACCGGAGTATTTCTGGATGTCGCCCAAGCGTTCGACAAAGTATGGCATCAGGGGCTTCTCTTCAAACTTAAGACCATACTTCCACATACTTACTACTTAATTCTCCATTCCTTTCTCTCAGATAGATTTTTCTCCGTTCGACATGGCCAAGGTCTATCCTCAATTCGATCAGTTTTAGCTGGTGTACCTCAGGGATCAATCCTAGCCCCACTACTGTACATCACATACACACACGACATTCCTCAAAGTATCCACACTCTTACAGCAACCTACGCAGACGACACTGCTATCATTACCAGGCACGACAATCCTACAGAGGCATCACTTAACTTACAACATCACTTACAAATTATACTCGATTGGTGTAAACTTTGGAAAACTAAAATAAATTATCAAAAGTCACAGCACATCACATTTACTCTAAGACCAGAAACATGCCCTCCTGTATACTTAGACAACATACCGATTCCACAAACAGACAGAGTACAATACCTAGGCCTTACGTTCGATAGGAGAATGACATGGGGTCCACATGTGAAGAAAAAACGAATCACATTAAATCTAAGACTAAAATTGTTACATACACTGTTAAGACGACCTTCCAAATTAAAAGCAAGACAGAAACTAAGTATTTACACGTATCTTTTGAAACCTCTTTGGACTTACGGACTACAAATATACGGAATTGCAAAACCAACTCACATAAATAAACTTCAAACTTTTCAGTCTAAGATACTACGACTAATCACTCAAGCACCATGGTACGTAAACAATCACACTTTGCACACCGACCTACACGTTCCGACAGTCAATGAACACATACGAACGTACTACAAACGATTTCATAACATGTTAAACGGGCACTCCAACCAGCTGGTAAAAGAAATGGCCACAACTAGTATGCCGGAGAACTCCAGAAGACGACTGAAAAGGGTCTGGATGAGGGATCTGCTTAAATAATGTTAGTAAATAAAAGCCATGGAAGGGATACCGCTGGGTATTGCTATTCCTCATGCCTATCAAGCCGTTTTATTTATTTATTTTTTTATTTATTTTTTATTTTATTTTATTTTTCTCTCATTACTAAGCCAGCACATCTGCTGATTGTCAATAATAATTGACAGGTGCGGATAAATAAATGTAAGTGCAAAAAAAAAAAAAAAAAAGTACTTAGAAGGAAAGTTGGCATTTAAACCCTGTTATAGAGCATCAAAAACAATAAGACCTACATCGTATATAAAGCCAGCTTTATTTTACACAGTTATAATGAATTTAATCACTATATAATATGTAATAAACAAAATGAGCCGTTTTAAAGAAAATTGTTATAATAGTAGTTCCGGTTAACTGATTTTGACTAAATATTTGCTGCAATATAACAGGTATTTACAAACTTTTCAGTTTCGTACGACTTTTCGATATACGAGCTAGATTGTTCACACACATATGCATTTGGTTATTTGGACTCAGGGGACCTCAAAAATTTGAAATTTGGATTTACATTTTTTAAAGATCGCAGTACTTCTCGTTACAATATGCATTTCATAATTAGATAAGTAAAGTAAAAATATAATTAAATAAAAAAAAATAGGTCATAGAGATCACGAAGGAGTTAGTTATATAGAATTTTAGAAAATAATAAATTAAGTACAAGATAAAACTGCATTATTTTTTCTAATAAATCAAACATAATAATCAGAAAAATAACGAATTAGCAATGACACTTGAAAGATAATATTATAGTAATAAGTATATAACTTGAAGAATTTTTAATTTACTAGCTTTTTTAAAATTAATACCATGGGGGAATAATTCTCTTCAGAGCCTACAGCGCTTTCTCTTGTGCTCTCCGTGTACTAAAAAACTGAAATTATTCCCATGATTAAAACAATAGAAACAATAAATAAAATAGCTATTATTCTTTTTAAAAACGAACATAAATGATACGCCTAGAAGGAATGACAATATCGTTTGTAAAAATATAGAAACAAAACCAAAGTTTAATTTTCAAGAAATTCATTCCACCATTAATTCATTTACTTCAGTTCTAAATTACTGAATAATTATAATTACAAAGAAGTTTTATTATACATTATTAAAAATTACGTTTAATATTAATTCTAAAAATTAACCGATGTCAAAAAATAAATAAATAAATATATATAAAGTGAGAAGGTGCAAACAAATATTAATAAAATAATTTCTTATTATCGACCTAAAATAATTGATTTTCTAGAAGATATTTGTAACTTCATTATTTCATAGGAAGTGGATAAAAGAAAAGAGATTAGAATGGAAGAATTTTTACTATGTTGACTCAAATGCCATCTTTTATC